ACCTTTATGCCTAAAGGCTCAACACACCTAGGGGGAGATCTTGTGGCCTCTACCTCTTGCACACACCTGAAGGCTCGTGGTTCAACCACTCGAGCCACACCTCGGGTCAACTTTCATGCAGCCTTGAGTTCGCATCCAAGGCTAGGCCTTCTCAGGTCGAACCCAGCAAGCGTCATGCATCTGCATCCCACAGCTCGGGGCAATGTCAGTGCTGCGCCATCTCGAGGACACAAGGGTCGACCACTTCGTCCTCCCTCTTAACACACACAGCTCCAGATGAGCTCCCAGTCGGTCCCTAGACACTAGCTCGTAGGTCTCGATCTTCTAAGGTTGAACCAGTAGATCAAGGCTGGACTGACCCCCAAGTCACCTGAATGGCTAACTCCAAAGGAGCACACACACACCAACTTCACAGGTTCCTTCCCGATCTCGACTCAGGTGAAGCTGTGAACCAGTTCCTTCTTCTGTCGCTCTTCCTTTGCTAGGAAAGCACTTCAAGATCTTATACTCAAAGGTTTTCCCTAAGAGTACCATCTTGAGTCACCCACCTCAAGTCAGACATGCACCCGGACCTCACAAGGGAACTCGAGGAAAAGGCCTGATGGCAGATAGAAGCCTTCAGTCTCTAAGGCAGCAACTCAGATTTCCCTTTGTCCTGGGACCTCATTCTTTTCTCCGGCTGATAAACACAACCCTCGCATGCTCAAGAAAGACGGGGAAGTCCAAGTTTCAGGCTCGATTCTGGACAGAAATATATTGCAGCCTCAAGATTAAGCAGAAGAGAGCCCTGCAGCTCCTGACTTGAGAGGCCCCCAACAAAGTTGAGGCTATCACTCTTGATGACCTCCTGCCTCACAATCCCTTCTTTCCTCTTCGAATTCCAAGAACCTGAGCGAGAAGTCCAATATTTCTGGGTGGTCACCGTTACATCAAAAGACTGAGCTGCCAAGAAATCACGGTCCCTAAACCCTCAAGAACCAGTCCTCACAAGGTCTGTGTACAAGGCTCAAGTCTAGTCGGGGTATGCTGAGCCCCTACAGACCGACTTGCCTTGTGCGACTCTCCAACCTTGGTAATCCACTACTTCACCTAGCTCTGACCTTCTAAAAGAATGGTCAGCGTCATGGTGATCAACTACCCGGATGACGCTCAAGAAGAGTGGATGAACAGGTTCAAAGTAATGATGCAATCCATTTTAAAAAATATGGACCGATTGGAGGCCTCCAAGTCTCATACTTCTCATCCTCACCATGAGGCCAACTCCGAGCCTGGAGTGGACATAGCTCCCTGGCAAGCTCCCCCACCGGCCTCCCTCCCAAGATAGCTCTATTCCCCACATGGTTTTGCAAACGGACGTAGATGCCATGGTGACCCACAGTCTCAAGAATAAGGTCTTGAGCATGCAAGAGGTGCCGCTTTACCAAAAGCCATATCCCGCATATATCAATCAGGTGCCCTTTCCTCCGATCTATCAAAAAGGGAAGCTCCCCTCAATCAACGGTACTACGTCATTGCACCAACTTACCGCTCACTTCTAAGCAGCTCGTCGAGAGACGGCAACTGATGGGCGACTCCTCCTTCGTCAGTTCGTGGAAACTCTAGAAGGGTCAGCCTTCCAGTGGTATGCTTGGCTACCTCCAAGCTCGATGCACACATGGCAAGAAATGTAACAGTTGTTTTACCAGTGCTTTTATGAAGTCCAAAGAAATGTGGAAACCATCGATGTCCTCACCCTGACTCAAGGCCCTGGTGAGCTAGTCAATAAGTTCACTGCTTAATGAAGAGAGTTGGCAACCTATCATGCCACTCCCATGACTGAAAGAGAAGCAGTTTAGACCTGCATATGAGATATGCTGTCAGAGTACATGTTGAGGCCTCCAATCCACCCTCCATGTCAGAGATCATCTCTAAAGAAGTTCTTATAGAAGGGCTGTCCAAGCACCATGATGGATCTCACCAGCAGCCCTCTAGCTCGAGAAACAACCAGGGCAATGACAATTCTCCCTCCAACAATTGGGGCAATGCTTGAAGGTCTTATCATGCCGAAGCCGACAAGGCAGCCAAAGTTCCTGCCTCCATGAACTGAAAATGTTTGGTGTCCGTATCATCTAATATGGAGACATGACCTGAGCGAATGCACCAGCTTCCATGAGCTCTTGAGAAAGAAGATGCAGTAGCACCAAGAAGTTCATGGTAACCTAGAAGGACATCCTCAGGTCCCTATTCCACCAGTGTAAGAAGACCTCTTGACACAAGCCCAGGAAAGTGCTGCGCTAGACCCTCTGTGGAGATGCTCCAACATGATCTCGTCACTCTCAAACTCGCCTGGCAGCCTAAGCGCCTTGCATAGGGTACAAAAAATCTCTAGTGCCCATACCACCAGGTATGGAGCCATGAGATGAAAAAATACTCTGGTTTCGAAGCTGTAGTCGCGGAGAAGGTAGGGGAAGGCCACATAGTCGGCATCGTTCTCCCAGAATGCTTCCAATCCATCATTCCCGTCCAAGAGGAAACCCACTATAGGTCCCCTATGAGCATACATTGAACCCTTCAAGACCCTCGACTTCTCAGCCTTGGGAAGTTTACCATGGGTGAAGTAGGCTCAAGTCCCTGAAATGCGAGTCAGTCCACCAAGCCAGAGCTACTCATTAGTTTGATAGGACAGACCAAACACCGCCCAAGGGATCTAGAAAAAGATAAGCACCTAGGTCAGCTCGCCAGAGGAACCATATTCCTCAGCCACTAGTCGAGGAAGAATTTCTTTGGCCTCTTCGTCCACTATCGACCTTATAGGACTTCATCCCAAGCGCATCTTGCCTTATCCCTTCGTCCAACCTAATGGATGTTCCTGAGTCATCAGCTGCTCGGGACTCGTCCAATATGGGTGACGACACTAAAAACACCTCCCAACAGTTAGAGCCGGGGCAAGACCTAAAACACCCCCTGCACACATCCAATTCTGGCGACGACATAACAAGCTGCCTAGGACATTTAACTCCAGTTTTCTTCTTCTCCTCCCTCCTCTTCTATTTCTTTCACAGGTGTAGTTCGGTAGTGCCTAGACTTCGACAATCTAATCAGAGAACTCAAAGGCACCAACATTAGCAGATTGCAACAGAAGCATCTAAGAAAGATGCTGGCCCAGGCGGCTAGATTCTTGTTAGTCGCTGACGCCCTGACAGCCCAAGCCAAGTCCAAGCCATCTTCGAGCTCCTATTACGATGAGGCCTGTCACATGATTCAAGTTCATGAAGCGCCATCCAGCTCGGGGCAAATACTGAGTGACCCCAGTCACGATGCCATGGACTTCATGATCCTTTCATTATCTAATCCAGCTAAGGACCGAAAATGGTTTCCCATACTGGGACCCTTCTAGAAGCTGAAATGTCAGGGTCATGGGTATCTGCACTCGATATTTATAAGAAGAATCCTGAATCCCTTGGCGAAGAGTTGCAAGAAGCTCTGGAGGAGTGGGAATAAGGGGTTCAGGCCACCACTGACGAGCTCGAAGAGATAAACTTAGGGGATGAGGTCGACTCATGGTCAACTTTCATCTCGATAAAAATATCCCTAGAAGAGAAATAAAGTTATATTTCCCTGACATTATCATGAGAAAGTTATATTTCATCTTTACTTGGCATTATCATGAGATGCTCGGACTAGACCCTCAAATCATTATCCATCGTCTCAGCATTGACCCGTCCATCAAACCCACGAATCAGAAATCAAGAAGGTTTAGACCCGACCTCGAGATGCAGATCTATGCTGAGGTGAACAAGCTCAGGCATGCTGGATTCATACGTGAAGTCAAATACCCCAGATGGATGGCAAATGTTGTCCCAGTCAAGAAGAAAAATGGCCAAAGGACGACTTTCCCCTGCCATTCATTGAGATGCTTGTTGATTCAATGGCTCATTGTCAGATCTTCTCCTTCATGGATGGATATTATGGTTATCATGAGATCATGATGGCATTAGAGGATGAAGAGGCCACTGCATTATTGACCCCAAAGGGTGTATTTTGCTACACTGTGATGCCTTTCAGGTTAAGAATGCCGGTGCCATGTACTAGCGAGCCATGATGACCATCTTCAGGGACATGATGCACAAGGAGGTCGAGTGCTATGTGGATGACTTAGTGGTGAAGTATGAAGCAAAAGACACTCACATGAAGGACCTTAAAAAGGTATTTGAGAGGCTTTGGTGTCACCAACTCAAGATGAACCCCTTAACATGCAGTTTTGGCGTACGCTTAGGAAATATCTTAGGGTTCATCGTGAGGTATCGTGGGTTGGAGATTGAACCAGTCAAAATAAAGGTGATCTAGGACAAGCCATCGCCTACAACCCTACGTGAGCTTTGGTCTCTCCAAGGAAGCTAGCCTACATTCGAAGGTTCATCTCGAACCTCTCTGGACAATGCCGACCCTTTTCACACCTGCTAAAGAAAGACACTCCCTTCATATGGGATGAGGCATTCCAAGCGGCAATCGATGATATCAAGCAGTACTTGTTGAATCCTCCGGTACTATCCACGCCAGTGTTAGGAAGGCCTCTTATCTTATACGTGAGCGCGCTTGATGAGTCACTAGAGGCACTCCTAACACAGAACAATGATGGGGGGAAAGAAGCAACACTCTATTATCTCAGCCGCAGGATGCAAGGGGCTAAGAAAAATTACCCTCCCATTGAAATGGTGTGCATAGAATTGATCTTTTTAGCACAAAAGTTCCGTCATTACTTGCTTGGTCATGAGGTCAAGCTAATCTCAAAGATGGACCTAGTCAAGTTTCTCATAACCTGACCATGCCGGTCAGGACGCTTGACCTAGTGGGCATTATTACTGATAGAGTTCGACATCATGTATGTACCACAGAGGGCTGTCAAAGGTCAAACCTTAGTAGACTTTCACGTGGCTCACCTGGTCCCTTCAAGATCTCCCCTATCAAGTGACCTCCCAGATGAAGAAGTCTTCTGTATGATGCTAACTTGGCCGTGAGAAATGTACTTTGACGGAGCATTCCAGTCCGATAGAGGGGCTTCCAGAGTCGTGTTCCTAATTCCTGATGGTGGAATGATTCCTCTATCCTTCTCACTCACAGAGGCATTTTCTCGTAATGAACTTGAATATCAAGCCCTCATAATCGGATTGGAGATCACCCAAGAGCTAGACCTAGAGCAGCTGAACAACTTCGACGACTTTGAGCTCGTCATCTGGCAACTTAAGGGAATTTACGATGTAAGGAAGGATACTCTCAAGCCTGATAATGACACGACCAAATCTTATATGGCCCAGTTCGACGATTTCTCTCTAAGTCATATCCCTAGTAGGCTAAACTCACAGGCCGATGCACTCTCAAAGCTTGGAGTGCTACCATTCAACTGTCTTCATCAGGGCCCATGCTTGTCTGGGTAACAGAATGGAGACATGTCGAATTGAGAACCGAAGTTGATGCAGATGATGAGAGAGATGTCTTCCCTGAATCCCCACCTTATCCATTCGGAGCACTCCTTGCAGCCAAGGATGTTATTAAGGTAGAGCAAGAAATGTCTTGAGGTAAAGAACCCAAATCTGAGGAACATGAACTGGATTCTTTGATCCGATATGTGCGAAGGTTGAACAAGTGGAATACTGGAGGGAATCTATCATGAACTTCATAAAGCACGAAAGGCTACCTAAGGAACGGGCAGAGCACAACGGTATATGACGAATGTCTACCAAGTACACCCTTCTTGATGGGGATGTTCTCTTTCGTCGAACATTTGATGGAATTCCCCTTAGATGTGTCGATACACAAGTGGCAAATAAAGTATTGGAAGAAGTGCATTCAGGTATCTACAGGCTGCACCAATCTGGCCCTAAGCTCTATGAGCGTATACGTAGACTTGGCTATTATTAGCCTTCAATGGTGGCAGATGCCCAAAACTATGCTAAAAGATGCCAGGTGTGCTAAATGCACTCAAGCCTCATTCATCAACCCCCAGAGCCTCTCCATCCTACGGTGAAATCATTGCTCTTTTCCTAGTGGGGTATGGACATTGTAGGACCCATCGATCCTACTTCTACCTTGGGTCATGTCTTCATCCTAGCAGTGATAGATTACTTTTCCAAGTAGGCTGAAGCGGTCCCTCTCAAGCAGGTTCCAAGGGCCACTGTGGTCAACTTCGTGCGCCACCACATCATATACCGGTTCGGGGTTCCAAACCGAATAATCTCTGACAATGGCCCTCAGTTCAGAAGCCATCACGTTGATCACTTAGTTAACCTGTTCGGTTTTGAGTGGAGGTACTTGACCATGTACGAACCTTGCGCAATTGGTTTAGCTGAGGCATTCAATAAAACCCTATGTAGGGTGCTCCAGAAGTTGGTCTTGAATTCAAAGAAGAATTGGCATGAGAGGCTGCCTGAAGCTTTGTGGGCCTATTGCATCACCACTCGGAATGCTACAAAATCCACTCCTTATTCCTTGATTTATGAAGGTGAGGCAGTTTTACCCCTCGAGGTTCAAATACCCTCACTCCATGTCGCTATACATCAGGAGTTGGATGCACTTGATGAAAAGAGGCTAGAGGCTTAGCAAAACCTTGAGTTCAATCAAGGGAGAATGATGAGAGCCTTTGACAAATCCGTCAAGGTTCGCTCATTCGCTCGTGCGAATCTAGTCTTAGCAGTCAAGAGACCGATTGTCATGCATGGATGATGCAAAGGAAAGTTCAAACCTAAGTGGGAAGGTCCCTTCATAATAAAAAAGGTCACACCATAAGGGGCCTATACTGGCAAATTCTGATGGAGAAGAGGCAATGCCCCCTATCAATGGGCAATACCGAAAGAAGTACTATTCCTGATGTGCTCTCAAAATGAGGTGCATGCAGTAAAAAGAAAGAAATATAAAAGAAAATAGCGACTCAACTCAAAAGAAATTCATTTCTTTTATTATAAAAACCCATTGTCAGGGAGGTTACAATATAGTATCAACAGTTGCTCTTGCTTCAAAGAAAAAGAGGATATTCATGCTAAAGTGTTACTCTTGCTTCCAAGGAAGACCGACCATTTTTGAGTCAGCTTCAATTCATTTGACGAAGTACAGATGGTTTCCAAGAGAGGGAAGAAGTACTCTGATAGAGTCTATCAGACATACAAAGCAGACTTCCCTGGCAAGGAGCTAGCCTAAGATGGATTCCCTTCCTCCAAAACAACATGGACTTCACTGTTGTGCTGGAGGACTTGGTTTCCAACTGACCACATTGACCGGGCCTTCTCATGTTTCATCACTCTTGGCCCCCATGAGACATCGCCGTCCACGTTCATCACCGTGCGCAACCCAACACTGTGCACAACCATCGCTGTGCACAATATAATGCCGTGTTCTACCATCACAGCGAGCAGGCCAACACCACGCGCAACCATTGCTGCAAGCGACATGCTACCAAGCATGGCTGTCGCTATGAGAAGCTTAACGTCGTGCCAAGGCAGCACTACATGCGACTTAATGTCGCGGATGCCCTTGTCATGCTCCGGTTCCCACTATCCCCAATTTTCAGGGGGCATTAACCCTCACGCCTCTTTGGTTTCCCCAACTATCGCCCCTTGGTGACGATCAACCTTCTTGTGACCTTTTGCCTCCCTCACAATCCTTCGGGTTTTACTAGAAACTCACCTCCATTTTTTGGGAACCCCTGTCTGACCCTGTTCTTTCCCCTACTGGTGTTTCCTCCCCTCGCCGAAAACACTTCTCCATTCACCAAGAGCCTACTTTTGACCCTGTTCTTTCCCCGACCGGGGTTTCTTCTCCTCGCCAGGAATTCACTCCTCCTCGTTAGGAAACCCTCCCCATCTATTCCCTCTCTTCCATCAGTGACTGAAGCTAACGGAAAGCCATCAAAATTCTTGAAAAAGCTCCCTTGTAACCCTCTTCGTTTCCCTTCTCCCTTCCTGGCACTCCGCTATCTGTCGAAAAAAATAGCAGAGTTTCCAGCATAGGTACTACTGCTTCTCCTTCTTCTCTTCTGATAACTAGAAGACCGTCAGAGTCCCCTGACCCTTCTACAACTTTCCTGTAATCATAGAACTACCAAAAAATCACCGAAATTCCGGCAGAGTACCACTGCTACTCTCACAGTTGTTTCAGAGTCTCGGTGAAGCCTTGAGAAGCTCCATGTTCCCTCCTCAGAAGGTCTCAACACTCTTTGAAGAAGTTTGTAAGTGCTCTGTGAAGACCCACTACCCATTGAAGTTTGTTGAAGAACTCCTGAATGCCTGCACACTGTGAGTTTTGGCCAGGAAAATCTTACCAAAAGTCTCTTGACGAAAGCTCTGGCTCTCTCTCTCTAAAAACTTTCTTCACTAGTTTACCTTTCGATAAAATAATAAAATGGGGTTTTACCCCTTTTATACTCAGTAGTGTAACGAAGTGCCCCTCACAAGTTCAAAATGATGCTCCAGTCCTCATCTTCAAATGACGATAGGTCCAGGCTGGGGCGGGTCAAGCTCGAGGCTCGAATGGAAGTCATTGCCGCCTGTGCCTCATGAACTCGCTGCTATTGCTATGCCTTATAGCCACGTGCTTCACCAGAAGCTATCGTCGCGTGCTTCACACAGACCTATCATCACGCATTTCACCAGAATCTATCGACGCATGGTTCACACAGAGGTTATTACTGCGCACTTCACAAGAGGATATCACCGCGTGCTTCACCAGGGCCTCACGCCATGTGCACATCATCTAAGCCTAATGCCACGTGCGTCATCCAAAACTTAGCGCCATGCGCATGATATAACGTTGCTGACTGTGGATTTTTCCTACTTTCCTCAGATCGTGACCTGTCATCCCCACAAGCAAGCCACCACTTTACATCCCCAGGGAGTTGAGTCTCCAATTATGGCTCTATTCCCCTATAGTCACATTCCCTTACCCACCTAAATGGTCTAGGTCTACGACCCTAAACTGCATAGTCCAAACTATATGACCTTAAACTGTAGCGGAGGTTTAGTTGCACGACCTTAAACTGCACAGTCCTCATTGCATGACTCTAAACTGCATAACCACGGTCTAGCTGTATGACCTTAAACTGTAGTTCATGTCCTGGTTGCATGACGTTAAAAGGCTTAGCACCATGGTCCAAACTATATGACCTTAAACTAGAGCAGAGGTCTAGTTGCATGACCTTAAACTGCATGGTCCTACCTGTAGGACTTTAAATTGCATAGCCATGATCCAAGCGACAAGATCTTAAAACTGTAGCGCACGTCCTTGTAGAAAGACCTTAAAATGGTGCGAAAAATAGTCCATGCACATGACTTTAAGCTGTGAAATGGATGCACCTCCCTCATCCCTAGTAGGAGTCACATCTGTATAGTGACCCATCATCCCAGGTGGAGTTAGGGTCATTTTTATCTCTTCAATCCAGTGCGTTGCACATGTGCTTTGGTCTGTCATTCTCAGCGGAGTTACATGCATTCTATTGCTCATTATCTCAGTGGGGTCATGCTTGTCCCTTCAATCCCCTTGGGTCAGTCGCACACCAAGCTATCCTATTCCCAAGAGTTGGGTTACTATCCCATGAGCCATGGAGTTCCATCTTTCACCTTAGGGAGTCATACTTGTTCCCTAATCCCCAATGAAGTCTACTTCTCCATCTAAACCTCTTGCTGATTTTAACCATCATTATCCCCAAGGGACTCAAATTGCTATCCATGGACCTATTCCCCATGCAGCTTCACCTATGACTTTAAACTGCATAACCACGGTCCAAGGTATATGACCTTAAACCATAGTGCGCGTCCTGACCTCATGATGTTAAAGTGTTTTGCTTAGGTTCAGGAGGCATGACCTTAAAGACGCCCCCACATATGCTCACATGTCCTTTATGTGCATCTTTACGCATGCCTTCCCTTATCGACCCATTCGTGTGCACACACCACCTTCATCACTTGCCCAGTAGCATCATGCCATCTTCCCAAAGTGAGTCAAATCACCACCATACTGACCCCATGGCCTCTACAGATTGCCATCCATCTCCACTATAGTTTAGCTGTATGACGCTAAACTATAGTGCATGTCCTGGTTGCATGACGTTAAAAGGCTTCGCATAGGTCCCGAAGGCATGAGCCTAAACACACCTTAACAAAAACCAAAAAGAAGAGAAAATAACGGGCATGATGTATACTTGGACCATGGAATTCCATGAGTAAAAATGACAAACGGGCATGGTCACGCAACCATGAGTAAAAGAGTTCCATGAAAAAAAAAACTCGGGCACGATGAAAACTTCAACAGGGCAATGTGAGTAAAAACGGATGAAAAGGGTGGCCATGGTTGCAAGGTCATGGGTAAAAGAGCCCAAAAATAAAGGAGGTTGGTGAAAACCTTTTTCCTTAGTCCAGGTGAAAACCCACAAAGGTCGCTTAGACCAACA